GAAACTGGCCAACACTTTGCAACGCGCGTTAACGAACACATGACCACGGACAGGAACTCGCACATTTTTAAACATCTTAATAGCTCATCCCAATGTAAAACCTCATGCAACGAGGAGGCGTTGCATATAAAATGGGACACGCCCTCTCTCAACAAGCAACTTTCACATGTTAATATAACTTTGTCATTCTGATGTTCATCATATGTAGAGAATTGTTTGAAAAAATTGTTCTAGGCGTGAGTCCGCAATTAGACAAAATATAAAATCCCTATAACATAATAATATAATTGCACAAAATAACCATTAGTAAATATAACAAATAGAAAAGAATGATCTAAGCCTACGTTAATTTCCTGCAATTTTATCAATCATGACATCCTTGAAGTATACTTTTTGTTGTGCATCAGTACAGTACATGTGAACAAACCAATACATTCCATGCCACAACATCTATGGAGTACCAAAGACTAACGACAAGGTGGGCAGGGCCTGCTGATGAAGGGGTGCAAAGGTTAACTTGGATGTTTTTGAAGATTAATGATTATATGGAGGTAGTTGGGAAAATATGTGTGATTTTCAGAGTCAGCAATTTCAAGCGAAGAGGCGCCTGGGGGAACACGTTTCTGTTGAAGTATGTACCCCACAATTCTCCCTCCCCTTTGACAATTTCCTACCAGGTACTTTGCCCAAGGATGCCAAAAAGAATGGACAATAAGAAATTTTGATACCCAAGGTTCAGGTTAGGAACCAAAAAAGAACTGCAACTAGGCCTACTGCTCCTACTACTCTAATATTTCAGTTCATAATTATTTGAAGTTCTCATAGTCCATTATTATTGCTGATGTTGATCATCTAATGGATGATACAGTATATGGCCATCTTCTGGAAACAAGATATGAGTGTCTTCATATTCTTATTACAGTCTTAACTATTATGAGACATGAGAAATCATCATTAAAGTCAGTGTTACGCTGAGTCCTTTTTGTTCACTGGTTTCACAATGGACCAGCGTCAACCCCATTCCTTGATCTACAGTACGCACAATACTGCAAAATTGTCATGGCTTCAGCCCCTGACCACAATCCACACATGATCCTCGAGTCCGACTTTCACAGCTTCAACTCCATTTCTCAAAGCAAGACACTGCAAAGTTTCACAGCTTCAACCCATTACCTCAATTCACCCTAGTAAATTTCACAGCTTCAATACAACCCACTTTTTCCTTGATCCACCCATGTTACTTGACATCCTCAAACCCATATTGCTCAAACCAACAGCTGGTCACCAGATGGGAACTAGCATATACACCACACAATGCTTCACTGTGATATTCACTTTCTACAGGTTGCCGGTTGCTTCAAAGATAAATCCTTTTCTGCCGATCTCTCTTAAAATCTTTGCAATGTTCCTACTATCATCTGGAATATAAAAAATAATATTGTTGTTAGGCATTGTGTTTGATTACATAATTCTATGTAATAATCTATTACATTTTTACACTAATTTAGATGAACTTGATAAAATATTCAATAAAGACGCCAAATTTATGCACAATCTCACCATTTGTATCTGTATCCTATTGATTTCTTATTTCAATACATGGCATTGGTATGCATTGAAATTTAAAAATGTACTGTAATGGCAAAACAGCGGTAACATTCCCCCATGCACCCACTAGATCTTCCCATGATAATACTGTACCTACTTTATCTATATCAGTGTGATGTCATAACAGTTAAGCATATTATCTACACCAATGTGATGTCATAGATAATTGTGTACTATTCATACATAATTTTACCTGCTATAAATGTGATGACATAAATATTATGGATACCTATAACAATTCCATAGGGCCCATTTGAGCGAAAAAATATCCAAGCGATTTACCAGTTAATTCACCAGTACACACTTTCTAATACCGCTCGGACACTAGTCTAATTACCTTACCATCTGGATTAACCGCGACAATTTTGACCACCAAATTGCTGGGTAGAATACCGTGTATAGAATGACCTTAATTGTTTTTCCAAATGTTTTGTCCACAGCACAGCGCGAAATTCAATAGGTTACGGCCCAGGCGTGGTTGCAGCTCTCCTTCGCCTCCTCACACAATGCACGACGAAATCTAAATTTAGTAGCATAGCTACGCGATCGATTTGTAGATTTACCATTATTCGGAGAAATAAACTTGAATAAACTAGTCTGTCTACGTACAGATTTTAAAGCAGCCATTATAAGTTATTGAGCTACATTATCGTTCCGCGCTGTATGTACGTGGGCCGGTTATAGCAGCAGTAGCAAGTAAACAAAGAATGGGTTGTTGGCCAATGGATAAGTTGAAATTTACTTCCGGAGTAGTTTCATTACACGTATTTACCGTCAGCTAAAACTTGCTCGAACGGTCGACCACCCGATGAGTGCTCAGCGAGATTACCCGGTGAAATAAACGGAATACGGTTGGCGTTTTTTGCTCAAATGGGCCCATAGATTGTTTACCTATTCCACTGTGATGTCGACCATCTAGTGTCAGCTTTAAATGATTTAACATGTTCGGCATTCCTTTTGGGTATATTCCTGTAGCAGCAGCAAATGCCTAAAATAATACATCAAATTTATCTTAATAATAGCATTTCATTTCAACATATCAGCATGTAAGTAAAACACTGTATACACAATGATCATAGTATTACAGTAAACAATTAAACACCGTGTTTTACTAATGACCATTCTATATTACAGTATTTACTATGAACTCCTTCACAAGAAGTTAAAGTTTAGCATACTCTGTGTATTAATTAGGCGCATAATGCCTATGTGACCTCTTGCGGAAGGCCCTGAACAGTCTCTCCGACAGACCTACCAGGGTCACGAAGGGTGTCAGCCCTCTGTGGGTAGGACAGGCCCTGAATGCCAATTACTAACAAACTAACTACAGTATTAATCTAAACCTGTTCCTAGTAACCAAATAAACCAGTCTAACATTATTGTTAATAAATTACATGAAAACCAAAAAAAAAAAAAATTAACTTTCTCTCTTCTTCCACTGGATTTGTGTTGTATTTGTTGATACACGTATTTCTGAAATTGAATGTTAGGACCTTTAAAACTAAAATAACTCTGACGACCAGAAGGATTCCCCATCCACTAAGCTCCTACCACAAGACATTTGGTGCTCTGTCTGATTAATTGTCTCCCAGCACTAGTGTGGTGATGGGTATCACTAGGCGCAGAAAAATATAATTAGATGTGTTAAGATAGCTCATTAAAACAGATCTCCTGGAAGAAGTTGTTTTCTATTTTGGGACCAATTGCAGTGACATTTATAAATCTTCCACGACTATATTACAACAACAACCTGTATTCACAACTGAAACACCCAACAATCCTTTATTCATTGTTCATTTAAGTTGCAATCAAAATTTACTCACTTTCTTGATATTAATCCACTGCTTGCAATAGTGAGGGAATTCTATGCCTGTATACTCACATTGGTGTGTTAACCTATGTTACATAGAAATAGTTATATCAATGATAAATTAATAAATCATTAAATAATTAGGTACTTTTGGCTTAATTATGCAGAATATACTGCACCTTACATAGTGCCTATAGTTAAAAGTACATAGCAATCACTCATTATTCCTGGTTAAAGAGTTTTTATATGCCTTCCTGATCGACCAACCAATCATCATCACCGAATGCTGTTGGCGATAGCATGCAGCAATTGTATGGAAACCAAGCTTCAATGATAATCACAGGTATATTTAATATTCATATTAATAGCTTAAAAGAAGATGTATATATATAATAATATACCGCTAATTAACTCACTGCTTTTTAAAATCCCAATCTCCGCATGTCACAAAAATAAATGAGTTATTGTCCCTTAATAAATCCTCTTTAACCATCCAGGCATCCAACATCTAAAACAAGAGTAAAATAAAAATGAACTATAAGTTCTCAATCTCCCTGGTTTCAAAGAAAAAGTTATTTTTCAATTCGTTTTGACAACGAACATGTATTTGCTACGTTATATAATGATCCACTATCTCAATTAGAGTCTATTAATGTGCCTGGAAACTCAGTTTTGATTATGCTATCTGTACACAGAAGTTAGTATAGCACTTCTAAATCATTGCCAATAATGCAATTTCAGTGGCAGATTTAGGAATTTGAAATAGAGGGGGCCCAGGAAGGGACTTTCACAGCTGGACGGATAGACAACCTCAGCTCCACCATGAGTAGGACTGAGATAAGAAAATTTATGATTATGGCACATCTAGATGACTGGCCGAGAAATGGCACTCTCAAGACTTGATTTGAATATAATTTTCTTTTTTTCTGCATTAAAAAAAAATAATTTTTAAAAACTTGGGGAGGGGGGTACACTGAATTTGTTTTTAATTGATATGAATAATACAATGTATTTTGAAAAAAGGTCCAAAAATATTTTGCTCATTCAAGATTTTTTTTTTCAATGACATAACCAGTAAAATTTAAATTCTTACTTCTCAGTAAATAAAATGCAAGGTACATAGAAAAATACAATATTAATAACACTGTATGCACAAATATCCACCAGGCGTATTTAAGACATGAATCATGAGATACAGTATGTAATAAATCTTAAAACTGTATTTGATTTTTTATAATATCAATGCTTATTTAAATGTATGTAAGCACTCTTAATTATTTAATCAATTCCTGGAATATTAAATCATCCGCAAGAAAAGAATTACTACAATGCTGACCTAGATTCTCACAAGAGGGCATAGATAAAATTAAATTTTGGTGAATAAAGTGCTAGCGAAACTCCTTGAGATTAACATCAGCCAATTTTTTGGTACCACACTGGGGTGGAAGCAGGGGTGTGCAGACAGTGCGATCACACCCCACTAAAATGTATTAAGAAAAATTATTGTTGTATATAAAATACCGGTAAGATTTGAGAGTGCAATAGAGGTCCATATTCTCAAAATGTTCTACCCTCAGCCCCAACCATGGTGGGGCTGAGGTTGTGTAAACTCTCACACACTCCCTACAGCCAAATCCTACATCTGCCCCAGCCACCCATACACGATATGTGCAATGTGCAATTTTGAGTGACTGAATGCTGCAAAGTTGTATTCAATTCTGGATGAGTAAGCATCATTTTTACCAAATTTAAATTTCATTTATTTGTCTCAAACATATTACCACTTACCAAGAACAAAAACAGGACAAGAACAACAAGAGAATGTTAAAGATAGAAACACCCTAAAATCGAACTACAGTAAATGTTGAGTTTACAGTATCATGCATTAACAATAATTTAAAAGGGAGTCCATTTATGGACAATGATGTTAAAAATAACAATGTATACTGTATCCAACTATGTCAATATGAAAAATCTATATCACACATTTTACATTCAACATACAGGTATGCTCATGATTTGCTTCATGTTTCATTTGTGTGTATTTTGACTGTATGTGTGTATTTTGACTGTATCATGATTGTAAATTGATGTCAATAACAAATTCTAGCAACTGTTGAATGAAAACCCATGTATGTATAAACATTTTATTTAATTTCTCACTTTTAAACTCTCTTGGAATGTAGGTTGTCCATCTACCATACTCTGTGTGATTCCAGTTAACTGCAAAAAAAAAAAAAAAAAAGAAATGAGGAAAATGAGTGGTAATGTGTAACTTATCTCAAATGTCAATTTTTTATTTAAAACTGAAGGCTGCACCCATTCTTTGACATTTTCGGAAAAACCTTTATGCACTGCTTTAAAACTACCTTAATGTTCAGTTTAATACTATTTTATTTTTCATCTTAATATATTTTCTAACTCTCATAATAAGTGATGAAAAAAATGGATGAGAGTTTATACTATCTGTTAATACGGTGAGGAAAATATGCTCAATTGAAACTGCAGCTTATGCATAACTTAATTAAATATATAGATACAAAGTAGCAATTAAAATAACTATTAAATATTACCTTATTGATCAAAGTATGCACAGAACATGTGCTGAGTTCACATGTCAAAATTAGGAATCATAAATCTGTTATATTTAAAGCTCTGGTCACACTATCAAATTTGCCTTGACCATATTTAGGCATGTCAAATAAAATGTGATAGTCTGGACAGGACCTTAGTATGAATTAAAAAAAAAAAAAACACTTGCCTCAGTACAAAATGTTGAAAGTTGTGGGTGGGCTGTAGGCTGCACATAGGTGTGGAATTCAGCTTCTGTTTCGAAGGTCTTGCCACTCACTTTAATAACAGGCAATTCAATGATTTCCTTAAAAAGAATGCAGTTATATATAATTATGTTTGCTGTTTTTTTTCAGTTGATAACTACCTCCATTACCAGGGGCGGATTTAGGGGGGGCCGGCCCGGCCCGGCCCCCCCTTTTGGGAGGTAAAAAAAGAAAAAAAAAGAAAAAAAAAGAGAGAAAAAGGAAAAAATGATGGCCAAGAATGCCTCAAATGTTATGTTCGGGCGTCTAGAACACAAAAATTTCTGTGTATAAGAGACAGGTATTGGGCTAACCGTCCGCTCAAATATGCTCCGTATCAACGGATTGACCTGATAGCATCGAGGGGCCTACTAGCATCGTTTTGCTAGGGTCTCAATTTCCAGGATAGAATATCCTGGAATTCAATATATTCAGTAAATAATTATTAATTCAAGCAAAGTTTGCAATACCTGGGGATGTATCCGTTGCATATCTTCGCATGTTGCCTCAAAATCGAGAACAAGAAAATAGTCGAATTTTTGTTTTGCAAAGTTACTTTTGCCAGGACTGGACTTGGATGCCATGGTGATGAATGGTCTGATACTACTGATGGCAGTGATGATATGCACGTTACTTCCAACTACTGACGGGGTTGTTCTTGCAGACAGAGGTGAATTTCGGTGTTTTTCGCAGGAGGTATGAATACTATTTATCGACTGACAGTTTTGGATATTAGGCCTACTACTATGATTATCAATCCTAGTCCTACTATATGTTATTAACTGTTGCACAATGAAACGCAATCGCCGCCTCATTGCAACACCTCCTGCCAGTCTTGCTGCTGCTGGAGGCTGAGTGTGACGATGGCAACAACAATGCTAATGAACTTCATTTCATCCTACCAATTCACACGCGATTCAGTGCAGAATAAAATATCGTAATGAAATTTGTAACAGGGATATACTTATTTATAGTTTACTTAGCATGTAATTATGCCCCGAATTATGCAAACAGAAATCGCACTACGAAAACCATGCTACTGTAGATGTGTATAAGAGACAGGAGTTTATACTATCTGTTAATACGGTGAGGAAAATATGCTCAATTGAAACTGCAGCTTATGCATAACTTAATTAAATATATAGATACAAAGTAGCAATTAAAATAACTATTAAATATTACCTTATTGATCAAAGTATACACAGAACATGTGCTGAGTTCACATGTCAAAATTAGGAATCATAAATCTGTTATATTTAAAGCTCTGTTCACACTATCAAATTTGCCTTGACCATATTTAGGCATGTCAAATAAAATGTGAGAGTCTGGACAGGACCTTAGTATGAATTTAAAAAAAAAAAACACTTGCCTCAGTACAAAATGTTGAAAGTTGTGGGTGGGCTGTAGGCTGCACATAGGTGTGGAACTCAGCTTCTGTTTCGAAGGTCTTGCCACTCACTTTAATAACAGGCAATTCAATGATTTCCTTAAAAAGAATGCCGTTATATATAATTATGTTTGCTGGTTTTTTTTCAGTTGATAACTACCTCCACTACAGGGGCAATATTCACAATTGACTATCAGAATGGTTTGTTCACAGGATTTTATGCAAAAAGTAATAAATTGATCATCATAAATTTAGGAGTGGTATAGAAACAAACAGGCAATTAGATTTTGGTATGAAATATAAATGTAAGGTCACTGAAAATAAAACAAGGTGAAGTGCGGCAGTCTATGTAATACTTATAATGCGCCCTCTACTATCAGAAAATATAGCGTGATTTAAAATCAAATAAAATTCATAATACTGATCAACAAATATCCCTAAAACCAGACACTGGTTGCGCCTAACGGTCGTCAGCTGATTCGATTCTGTAAAGAACGCTGCGCCTCCATGTAGGCGCAATGGATCGTTTTTAATGACAATAAGTTTAGACTGCCACCGACTATCAGCAGACAGCGTGACATCGTCTAGTGTTTACAAGGAGTGGAATTTGATCCTTCGTACAACAGGTCATAAGACCGTCGTACAAAGCTGCGACTGCCCAGCTTAAGCTTTTGAATGATTAGTTCCTTAGAGACCACTAAAATTGAAAAAAAAAAAAATCTGACCAGTACAGTATACCCAATATATCAGTAGTGTTTCACTGGAAGGAATAAAAATTTGTCAGTAAGCAAAATATACACTAATAAATTCTTTTCAAAAAATCCTAAGATATCATTAAATGGCCAAAATCAACTATTAGTTACAGTATGTCTAAATATTGATTAATTATCAAATATTGATTAATCTATCAAATATTAATTAAAGTTATCAAATATTGATTAATTTATCAAATATTTAGTATTATATATCAAATATTGAATAATCTATAAAATAATTATTAATCAAATATTGATTAATCTATTGCTAAATTGCCTAATTGTTAAATGTATCTCATAGTTGATTCTGACAATGTGAATCTTGAAAATACTGATTAACCCCTTCAAGTGTATTCTTGATAAGTATTGGGCTAACCGTCCGCTCAAATATGCTCCGTATCAACGGATTGACCTGATAGCATCGAGGGGCCTACTAGCATCGTTTTGCTAGGGTCTCAATTTCCAGGATAGAATATCCTGGAATTCAATATATTCAGTAAATAATTATTAATTCAAGCAAAGTTTGCAATACCTGGGGATGTATCCGTTGCATATCTTCGCATGTTGCCTCAAAATCGAGAACAAGAAAATAGTCGAATTTTTGTTTTGCAAAGTTACTTTTGCCAGGACTGGACTTGGATGCCATGGTGATGAATGGTCTGATACTACTGATGGCAGTGATGATATGCACGTTACTTCCAACTACTGACGGGGTTGTTCTTGCAGACAGAGGTGAATTTCGGTGTTTTTCGCAGGAGGTATGAATACTATTTATCGACTGACAGTTTTGGATATTAGGCCTACTACTATGATTATCAATCCTAGTCCTACTATATGTTATTAACTGTTGCACAATGAAACGCAATCGCCGCCTCATTGCAACACCTCCTGCCAGTCTTGCTGCTGCTGGAGGCTGAGTGTGACGATGGCAACAACAATGCTAATGAACTTCATTTCATCCTACCAATTCACACGCGATTCAGTGCAGAATAAAATATCGTAATGAAATTTGTAACAGGGATATACTTATTTATAGTTTACTTAGCATGTAATTATGCCCCGAATTATGCAAACAGAAATCGCACTACGAAAACCATGCTACTGTCCACCGTCTCTATAGACTCTGTTCTATCTAGTCTTCGATCACTTAAAAGGGGAAATCCCTTAGCCGACGTGACCCACGCCAGGTAGGTCTACACAGATTTACAGACAATTCTAAGATTTAAGTATATAAATACATATATATATTCATTCAGTAAAATTATCAATAATTATAATATTCAGTTAAATTATATTTTAAAATTATGAAGATTTTTAACAATTGAAATTTAGTATGTATAAAGAATTAGGTGAGTAAGTACTTGAACGAGGTCAACAAGTGTCAACAAAATGGCGAATCGCACGGTAAAGGACGCGAATAGCGTCAAAGGAACAAATCCTCAATACTTAGTTGAAAAGATTATAAGATCGAGAATATATGAGTCAAAATATTGGAAAGAACAATGTTTTGCTTTAAGTGGTATGTCCATGTATTTATATTATCTCATTACATTGATTTTTTGGTGCCCTAGCTAGCCTAGGCCGTTGGCGCCAGAGTAGCGGCCATGCAGTAATCTGCGCGATAGTGCCGGCGATGGATGGCCTAGTAGTAGGCTAACCTTAAGGCCTAGGCCTTGGGCCTAGTTCTTTTACAGAATTTGGGAGTCCTGGAGGAATAGGCTAGGCCCATTTACACATGATTCTTTTACAGAGTCAGGTCTAGCTATTTTACTAGCCACTTTTGTTCTCTGCTGTTTTTTGACTTGCACTTTCCTTTTTTGAATGAGTTTTGAGTTGAATGAAAATTTTAAAAAAAAGAGCTTTGGTTGGAGTGAAAGAACCCGGCCTCACTATTTAATAATCATCTTAAAATCGTAATATTACATTGTAATGATCAGATTTTCTTTCACAAGCTGAACTTCTTGTTGACAAAGCCATGGAGTTGCGGTTCATTGGAGGTGTGTTTGGTGGGAATGTAAAGCCATCTCCATTCCTCTGTCTCATCCTTAAAATGCTGCAAATCCAACCAGAGAAGGACATTGTAATCGAATTCATAAAGAATGATGACTTTAAGTGAGTACCGCTTGTCGTACTACTACTGTATAATGTTTATATCTTTTCCTAGCCATGACCAGACTGTCATGGCTAAAGAATATGCGCAGAGAATATATTCTCCGCGCAAAAATTTGGCCTAGAAATCCGTCCACACATTTTGAAAAATGAGGGCCGATTTCCACACAGATTTTACTGAAAGTTTTGAACAAATCTTACTGTATAACCAATGCAGTTGTGCAGTATACTATCAAAAGAAATACAACATACCTTTGTTTAGTCTTTCTCTTTTGTCTTTAAGACCAGTCCAGTCTATCAAGTTTTATTTGAATAAAAAACAAGTGACATGCCTAAATATGATAATGGTGAAAAAATATCATGACCATAAATAGGTAGATCATGATTACATATGGCATACAACAGTTTTTGGTCAAAGAACTCTCCAAATGTGAATGTGTTCAAGAGCAATCTGAAAGCTTTCCTTTTTTCAAGAGCATTCTGAACAAGTGTGACAGCGCCACTGAACATTTCTGGATATTGGCGCTATATAAATATTTTGATTGATTGATTGAAAGAAAATTTGATGGTCTTCATCCTGATCAATTCAAAATAATACAGTAGACCGTAAAAGATTAAATGTATGTCTGGCTATTAAAATAACATCAGGTGATCAGGCAGTTAAATTTTAGTGACACTCCATATATAGGTCCATGCTGTATATTTTATTATTGTCTCTGTCATTCACAGGTATGTCCGCTGTTTGGGGGCCATGTACCTTCGACTTATAGGAGAAAGTGTTGAGATTTACAAGTACTTGGAGCCACTTTATAATGACTACAGAAAGATCCGCTTTCAAAACAGGAATGGAGGCTATGAGCCGACGCACATTGATGAGTTTATTGACGAGCTACTTCACGAGGAGCGCGTGTGCAGTATAATATTACCCAGAATTCAGAAGAGACACATTTTAGAGGAAGCTGAGAAATTAGAACCAAGGGTAAGATAATAGAACATAGTTCAAAAACAAAATTGATCTTGTCAAATATATATCCTTTAACTTTGATGTTTTAAATGAAATATCAAATTATTAAATTGCAACAATCACATGTACCCAAATTTGTTACGCACTGGGTTTAATGTGGCTATAGGTTTGGGTTTTGATGGAATGCATTAAAAATTATGTAGGCAGATATGCACACTGGACCACTGATTTGAAGTCATTAACCAAGAAGATTTGGTTCTACCAAACTAACTCTAAACAAGGAGCTGCTTAAACCAGAGTTAAGGCTGTAGTTAGCCTTACTTAAGCCACTCAACTCGCCCAGCTCAACCAGCAACATTTTGCAATACTGTTCCAAAGCTCCACCATTTCAGGTAGTTATTGTCTCCAACTGAAAACACAGCAGTAACGGAGGTCATCAAGGAAGATACAAAATTTCTTATATACAGTAATTGAAATTTGTTTATTGTCTTTTAGGTGAGTGCATTAGAAGAAGACTTGGAGGTCATGGAGAGTTCAAGTGACGAGGAAGAAGAAATTATTAAGGTATGCACCAACCATGGACCTTATTAATAGGTCCATGCACCAACATTGGAGTTTATGAAGTGCAGTAAAGTTGAATAAATTGTTTTATCATGAATAAACATTTCTCATTACATTACAACACTTTTTACACAGGAAAGTAGAGGTCGTTCAGTAGATCGGTATAGGGATCACGATCGTCAACGGCGTAGTCCGTCTCCAAGATACCGCAGAAGTAGATCAAGATCACCGCATAGAAAGTAAGAATGACTATGCACATTGTAAAAAAAAACATATTCAAGCATACTCAATTAATGTACAGAAAAAATGTGTTAAAAATATGCGTGACAATTACCTAAAAGCAAACTTAATATCTTAATATTCACCCTTAAAGCATCCCTTTAACCTCTGTCTGGATTTGCCCATGTAAAGTATAGGCATGATGATGTACTATCTCTATATGGACATGAAAATATATCACACCCAAATATGGACACAAACAACACTGTATTTTCATTATCTAGAAATATGAAGTGATTTGATTCATATTGAATTTTTAAATTTTTTTTTTCTGCGAATCATTTATATATTTTTATTTGGTGTGTTTAATAATTAAATGAATTGACACGTTGTCAACTTTATATTCTTCAGTCGACGAAGAAGAGATTCACCACACAGGAGAAGAAACCGAAGTCGATCTAGAGAAAGGCGGCGTTCACGTACACCAGGTGAGAAAGAATTTTATTTCCTCTTTCAATTTTAATACAGTTATCCAGTACCATTATTGATTGTATAATAAACTTTTATAAATTATCAACTTATTCAATTAATAATTGTGATTAAATTGTCCACATTTATGTATTTTTAAAGAACGTCGTCATAGAGACCGAGACCATGGTGATAAACATCGCAGTCATAGACACGCTGGAGCAGATGATGATAGGTAAGGTTATATCATCACCCTATAGCATCTATCAATAGTCAATAATATCGGGGATGAATCCAGGAGACCCAGTAGAGGAGATCCACTGTTGGTGGTGACTCTCCATAAGTACATGGTGCTGGTGAAGGTAGTGTAGGGGAATTACCTGTGACTTGCAGTTTAACTAGGTTGAACTGCTCGCTTTTCATCTGTCCATGACAGACTGGAGTGCACTGTGGTAACACATACTCTTATAGAAGGATGCTCTGTTTATAATTCTTGTACAAGGGTTTCAAGTCTCCCACACTCCTGCCAGCAGGCACCAATCTCCCGGAAAATTACCCATATTCCGCAAATTTGTTATACTTGCACGTTTTTACTACTTTATAATATCAATTATCTCATGGAAGTCTGTGACAATGGGCAGAAAATTAAATATGTTAAGAAAACTCATTTTATCCAGATCTCACGATTGTGAATTCCTCCAACATGGGATCACTGCTTATACAAGACGAATTGGTTCATTCATCTGGATTAAACATTGATAAGTTACTTGACTGTAACCATATAAAATTGTGAAAAAGGCAATTATTTCCACCGCAGGGATAACCAACCATAAGAGAGTCCTGGGTTTTATATTTTTGACATGCATTGAAAGACGAATGGATCCACCAAAATGATGACATGCACAAGCATGACAGCCACTTAGTGTTGCTAGGCAACCTCCAAGTTTGTTATATTCCATATTAAATGTTGAAGCAAATAGAAATTATCATTGTAGTCCTAATAATTTTCTTTGTGTCATTTGCAGACGGAAGTCACACAAGACTAAAAGAAGCCGGCATGATAGGGATTACAACGACAGAGAGCATCGACATGAAAGCAGAAGAGAACGCCACAAAACAGAATCAGATGAGATTGCTGAAGCAAATGCAGTGAGAGCTTCTCTTGGCCTGGCTCCATTGAAATGAGTGTGCTAGTTCCTAATAAAATACCTTTAAAAGCTTACCATAGATGATTAAACAAGCACCTCACTTAACGCTAAGGCGCTCAATAGTTTTGCAGTAAATTATCCAAAATGCCTTGTAGCATTGGGACACTATTAAACAACAAAATTTACAATTCTTGAATTATGATGTTATATTGTAACAAACCTGAGAAGTGCAGACCTTGGTACAACACCCGATACTATTAACAAGACCCAGGGAGGACACTTGTGGCACGCATTTTGTGCTCCATAAAACATGCAAAGGATTGGTTTTTAGGTCCGATGGGAAGCTCTGGAAACACTTGGCTGATTGATTAATATATCTTTTTTTACTACTGCCTATATTATACTGCCCTCATCGGAGCTTTCAAGATTGCAAGAACTCTAGCCCCGATGAGAAGCTCTAGAACCAATCGGCTGATTGATTAATACAGTACATCTTTTTTGTACTACTGCCTCTATTATACTGCCCTCATCATCGTTTTCTACAGGCGTGGTTCAAAAAGGGTAGTCAAGTTTATTATTGAATTTGGTGATCAAGAATTTCATTTTCTCAATATTATCATTGTGGTAATATAAGATTAGAGTACTGACAACCTATTCTGCCAACACAGAGACAGCATTACACACCGCTTGGAAGCCTAAATGTCCTCTTTTCCTTTTGATTTTATTTGTTCTTTTGAATAAATTGATTTTGTACAAAGTACAGTACAGTAATTGTGATTATTTGATTGTAGCAGAACTGAGCATAACAGATACAATCCTATTTTATTGTGCAGACTTCCCTCTATTATAATTTATCTTCCACATTTCTTGATTCACTTCAAAAAAATAAAATGGATATGCCCCTCACACCTACCCCCTCTAAATCCACATCTGAAAATGTCTAGTCCAGTGTAAAATTGATTGAATCGTTGCTCACCCACTGAGTATTACACAGCGATTATCTGGAAAATTACATGGAATAGCATTACAATGGACTGCTCAAATGCACTCGAGTACACAGAAGTGACATTTTGTGCTTCGTATGGATGCTTTAATACATTTCACGCATCACTTTCAAAGCTCGTCTATGCTTTTTATTTTAAGTACAAACTTCACATCACAATATGTCCACAATCAATCAGGATAATGGTCTTAAAAGGGAACTAGCAAAATGATTTTTTGTTCTAGAGTGGATTTTTGATATGCCATTAATAATAGAATCAACCTTAAAATCGTTCTTCGGCTATTTTTTATGAAGTTATAGGCGATTATATACGATTTTACCATGACGTCACTGGCAAAAAAGTAACAAAAGATCGTGTAAATAGCGCCGCGTAGGGTATCCACCCCGTAGGGTAGACGCCGCGAACGATCTTTGCGTGCATGCTGTAACAATCACAATTTACAGCCATGGTTACAGCATACACGCAAAGATCGTGTGGGAATCGAACACACAACCTCCATGTTTGGTATTCATTATCCACCATCAGCTAAACTGCCTTAAAAAAAAAAAAAATGGCTCGTGTGGGAATCGAACCCACGACCTTAAAAAAAAAATAAATATAAATTAAAAAAAATTTTCCCCGTGCGGGAATCGAACCCACGATCGCCGAGTTTACTACTCCTGATCCAGCATGACTAAACGGAGGGAGGTAAACCGCGTCCCCTAAGCCATAAATGCGATAAACCAAGTACCAGTTAGTCAACTCTGATCCTACTAGAAAAAAATTCTTTGTATATATACACTGCAGGTTATTATTACGCATGGTCATGGTGTCAAATATAGGCCATGAGCCAAGAGGTTTAATTTTTTTTTTGTATAAAAATGTAGAATTAAATTTATAATCGATTTTTGATTGTTACCATCTTTATAACTTACGCACTTTTTTTTAAATAGACAAAAATGTTTGAAAAATTCATTATGCAAATTAGAAAAAAAATTGATTAATCATGTTACGGGTACCCTGGTGGTTGTGTGTTCAATTCCCGCACGAACCAATTTTTTTTTTTTTTTTAAAGGCAGTTTAGTTGATGATGGATAATGAATAGCAAACCTGGAGGTTATGTGTTCGATTCTCACACAAAACTAATTTTCTTTTTTTTTCTTTTTTTAAAGGCAGTTTAGTTGATGGTGGATAATGAATAGCAAACCTGGAGGTTGTGTGTTCGATTCCCACATGAACCATTTTTTAAAATTTTTTTATATGACAATGGCAGAAGCCTATACCAAAGCTTCGCATTTTTGCGGGCATAATGCCTACACAGGATTGTTCATTCATATTGAAATTAGTGTTTTGATGGTGATTTTTTTCATCCAATTGCAATTTATATATCTTATATGAGAAGAATCTATGAATATTCAGCTTTCTGTTTACTGGGGGAATGAACAAGAAGATATGTGATTGGTGAACAGCCGAAATGGCAATTTAAACGAAGTCACTAAAAAGAGGTCAAAATGCAGCGGTGGGCGGTCAGCATAGCACCAATAGAAAAGTGAAAAATGACGGTGACCTTTTTCAAGCAATACAATTGAAACAAATACTAAAGCAATCAGAAAAGAATTGTCTTCCAAATGCAGAAGAGAATACAAAAATCCGACAAGTATTTGCCAGATACGACTGTGGAAAGACAATAAATGATCTAAAAACAGCTAATGTCAGCGTGAAACACTTTTGCTAGGCTATTCTCGCTCTTGAACGATAATGTTGCAAGAAAAACCATTTCGTATTTTTTGGAGCTTTTTTGATTTGTCAATGTGTAGGCCTATGGCTGATAATTTTTGTCAGGTCGAGGTGATTTCACTTTATTTGACAGTAGACTGATATTATTTCCACTCACAATAGTGCAGTCGCAATATTACTAATACAAAAGTGAAAGTTAAAAAGGGGAGAAAAGCAAAAATCTCTTGATTGACTTTAAAAGTCGTGTACTTGCAAAAAGACTAAATTAATCATTGTTTTAAGTTTGAATATCGTGTTGTTAATAATAATAATAGGCCTTATAATAATATAATATGCCTATTAGTAATAATAATAATAATAATAATAATAGGCCTTATAATAATATGCCTATTAATAATAATAATAAAGATTTGTAAAGCGCAAACATCTCCACCTAAATAGGTGCTGGGCAGTGTCAAACAAGCAGTAGAGAAAAAAACAAGATACATATCACAAGAAGAAAATGTAACAAGACTCATCATTTTATTACTTTACCTTCTCATTTTTTACCCACAGTTATACCAATGTCTTTCGATATTTCCTTTTCTTTTCTTTCTCTTTCTTACACCTTCCTTTTTTGTCATATGTTTCCTTATCTTTTTCCTATTCTTTCTTATGTTTCCTTTTCTTCTTTTTTTCCTTTCTTATGTTTCCTTTTGTTTCTATGTTTCATTTTCTGTTTTAGTCTCTCCTTTTCTTTCTTATGCTTCCTTTCCATTCCATTTCTTTCTTATGTCTTTTTTCTTATTCTTTTCCTTTTCTGTCTTACGATTTTCATTTCTTTTTCTTTTATCTTTTTCTTTCCCCCTTTCTTTTTTATCTTGTAGTGAAAATCAGGGCCCCCGTGACCTTTTCAGGGACCAACGTTTCTCTATTGATGTAGCATCACTAGATAAAAAAAAATGAACGGGCGCGCGGGGGAACCTCCAGAAAAGGGGCAGAACGTCCTTTAAAGACGGATAAGCTTCTCTTAGCAGACCTTAGCATATGATCATATATTTTTTTCGACAGTGTGCTGTCTTGTTCTTTTAGATTAGAATGACTTTATTCTTTTTTTGTTTTTGCACTTTTTTTTTATTAGAAGAAATGTAAACCCCAAATATAGTGCAAATATTTATAAGATTGTGTCCCCTCACTCACAGTTATGAATTTTCCTATCTGTTTTCCATTTTTTCTCTCGGTTTATAAAATACCCATTCGGATGACCATCATTAGATTTTTGCTAATTAAAGCTTGATTTCCGCTCCTTTGCATATTTCCCTGCGATATACAACATTTTTAACACTTTAAATTTATTATTTGTCGTATTAAACAACATGGTAGGCCCAAAAAATAAAAATAAAGCAACATTTTTTTTCTTCTGAAATATCCATTTTTCGTGGCGGTGAGTGTGCTTATTGGCCAAATATAAATTTGTTTTATTCGAATCATCATTTTAGACAAGGTACAAAAAATTTTACCATATCTACGACCATACTACATCTGAAGATCGAGAATATAGAAGTTGTTAATAGTTTAAATGATTTTTTGTTCTAGAGTGGATACCCTACGCGGGTATCCACCACGTAGGGTATCCGCCACGTACGATCTTTGCGTGCATGCTGTAACAATCACAATTTACAGCCATGGTTACAGCATACACGCAAAGATCGTACGCAGCGGATACACTACGCGGTGCTATTTACACGATCTTTTGTTACTTTTTCGCCAGTGACGTCATGGTAAAATCGTATATAATCGCCTATAACTTCATTAAAAAAAAGCCAAAAAACGATTTTAAGTTTGATTCTATTATTAATGGCATATCAAAAATCCTCTCTAGAACAAAAAATCATTTTGCTAGTTATCTTTTAAGCGGTACTAGCAGCAACTGTGCTGTACATGCACTAACAAACCATTAATCAGCTATGGTTACGCTTTAAAAAAGCATGCTTATTGGTCGTTTGCTCATCAATGCAATCATGAATGGGTATTTGCAGTACACTGGATGTATACATGTAGACGACCCAGGAATATTTATTGAGTGCATACAGAATATAATACGATCACTGCAAGAATTTATGTGTACGAGTTAGAACAAATATTGTTGATGATTGCACCTTTGTAAGCTTACAAGCTATAGAATGAAAATCAATTTAAAATTGGTCTTTCAGTGAGTGAATTACTATCAATACTGATATTAATATGTCATTTGGATATATAGCAAACATCCATTACTGTAATTCCATTTTCAACTAATGCACATTTGTCTTTGGCGAGGTTCACTGTAAAATTCAATAATATAATCTAAGAACACAAATTTTACAAAAATGTACAAATTATTAAAAAATAGAATATAGTAATAATATAATTGAAAGAAACTTTTTAGTAAGTGCATTTGGTGCATTCTTTAAGTTGGTATTCTGTCTCGAAGATAGGCCAGGAGGCTAACTGTACCCTTGTTGAGAACAGCTGGACGAGGATTGCGAAACCGGTTACCACTAAGCTGCAAAGACCTATGTATAAAAAACAATAAGGTCAACCATTAGTAAAACTTAGGTCTCACATAAATTGTCTAGCTTTCATTTTTGCATAGGCCTACGAATCTACGGACAATGTCACAGCAGATTGCAGGATATTTAACAGGCAAAGTAATAATAATAATACCCAATTCACACGTACAAAAATCTTACCAAATGTAACAAAATGTAACCAAAAGTGACATTTTACGGCACGTGTGAAAGTACCTCCGTGTAATATCCTTGTAAAATCTCGGAACGTCTTGGTAATCTTTACCAGCCTCGCTGAGGCTGGTAAAGCTCCCGAGATGTAGCATGGATGGATCTGCGCATGCGCAGGGATTTCATCACAACAACAATCTACTGTGTTTCACAGGGTTCTTTGAATTTTCTTCCTTCTGCAGACGATTCTGATCCACTAGAAATAGATAGGCCTAGTTTTTCTCAATGATGAATGCATTACCCTTGTTATTGATGTTAATTAGTAATGCTAGAAGAAGAAGATATACATAAAATGAACGTCTGGATGGTGTTAGTACTATTACTAGTATTATCAAGAGTCGACAGAAACGTTGGAAGCTATGCCTAGTTTAGTAGTAGTAGTAGATTACAGCAGTTGTTAAGGGCATTGATTGCTTCGAATGTTTACAGTGATGGTGAGTTCAACAGTCCATCTGTGAAAGGGGTTCTCAACTAGGCCTAGGCTTGACCTATATCGCAGTAGGGGAAAAAATGATTCATTGAATAAACACTGAGTAAATTTTACACGACCTTGGCATTACTTTACAGACGCGTGTGAATGCTTTTTATCTCGGAAGGAATAACTCGGGAGATCGCTCGGTTACAATTTGTTACTTTTTGTTAAATTTAACTTCACGTGTGAATCGGGTATAAGTTATACTTATATAGCATGAAAATGCTAAGCTTTACAGTCACTCAGACTCACACACAGACACTAAAGGAAGAAAGGATTAGAAAAGGGCAATGAACAAAAAAGATGTGGTGATGCCTTAAAGTTCTCTAGTGTGGAAAAGGTTAGAAAATGTCGTGCAACCAAAAATGTGCCGAGAAATGGCTTGCAAATATTTACCTTTAACCGCAAAAAAAAATCGAAATTAAAATATATTTACCGGAGTGACTCAATCAACCCCAACTCTGGGGGGACCTCCCCTATATCGTTATTAGACAAGTCGAGTGTTGACAACTTTGGTAATGATCGGATGGAAGCAACATCGATTGCGGTGACCTGGTTTTCGCTTGCTAGGATGGTCTCCAGCTTACCCCATGTATAGATCACAGCGGGCAGCTCCTTAAAGCGATTACTGGAAATAGTCAACTCGCGCATCTCCTTCAGGCTATTGAACTCGCTTGGTAGGGTACTCAATGCATTGCACCTATGTTTAAAAAGGTAAGTCTTTACACTTATTATATTATTATGTAACATTTCAAATGCACCAAATATGAAAGACAGTTCATTCATATCAAATATTTGTTATACATAACTGTGCACAGAACTGGTTGTTTGCCAAAAAAAGCCATAAACTTATACAATATTACCTATAAGCTTATACTTAAATGCTTTTTAAATAGTATGACAGCCAGTTTCTTAACAGAAAAAAAAAATACCATAAAAACAAAGATTCCCTACATATTACATATCACATATTGGGTAAAACATGTTGACATATTTCTAGCACAGTACAAATGAGCACACCACTTAAAAAATATTTGTATTTATTGTATTTTGGTTATATGTAATTAGTTATTAATATAGTAAATAAATAATATTGGCTTATTTGTTGTCCTTAATTTAGTTTATCTTCCATGGTTATATATTATGAAAACTGGTGTTGAATAACAAATAAATAATGCAACTGTGATGTTTAAAAAGTTCCACAAGAGATCTGACAATGATTGTTTTTTTTTTGAATACCTTATCTGCCTAGCTCATTGGGAAGGTCAACTGGCACCTGTAATCTGTTCATACTCACCTCAGATCTAGAGTGGTAAGTCTCACCATCATCTGCATCTCTACTGGCATCTTACTCAGTTTATTGAAACCCAGATTCACCTCTTGCACTGACTTTGACAATAAGATGATGCTAAAACAAACAAGTGAACAAATTAAACTAGTAAACCAAAATGAAAGCATAATATATATCAAAACCCAATATCCTAGTATCAATTTTGGCATTTAAAAAAAAATGTGAAATTCCTTACAATCAATTCCACTTGCCAATGCTAAAAGGGACCATCAAGGTTTCCATGATCAGCTTGGATAGATCATTCTTACTAATGAAAAGAAGACCATCCAAAATACTTACTTTTCAGGGACTTCAGTGAGTACGTTCTTGCTGAAATTCACAATAGTTACTTCAGAAGCTTGTGCTGGTTCCCACAGATGAAGTGGGATGGAGCTTGCTTTCTTCTGGCTATAAGTTCCGAGAGATTTAGAATAACAAATTTTAAACTTTTAATAAAAAAATAGTAATGATTTTTTTATTGAATTATTAATTTTTAATTAATAGTCAAGATTTTATAAAAAAGCAAACAAACAAATTAATTTGGACATTAAATGTACACAATTGTCACATCTTTGGATGATGGGTAAAGAATTCTGGTTGTCCTCAGCCCCTGTCAACTTCATTTCATGTTATACAATATTTCATGTTATACAATATTTGTTAACAAATATTGTATAACATGAAATGAAGTTGACAGGGGCTGAGGACAACTAGAAATCATTACCCATCAGTCCAAAGTTGTGACCATCCAAAATCATACAAACCATAAAATAAATAAAATTACATTACATTCAAAAATTAATAAATAAAGGCTAATATAAACAACACAATATATTGGAAGTACAAAAATAAAATCATAAAAAATAAATAAAGAAGTAGCTAGGTCTTACGTGAAATCTAGAGTCTTGCCTGACACAACTTGAGTGGATCCTATGATACCAGAAGGAGTAGCTTCACTAGCTCCAGAGTCACCACTGCCATTGGCCACTGGTTCTTCCTGAATCCTGTCCCTAAGGTACTTCATGAGACCCACTGTACCTCTCTGCAACCAAAAACAGACTTGAATGCTTACATTTGTCAAGAACATTCAACCATTTCCAAGTGTCAATCAAACTATCAAAAACATGTGCTTGTCTGACAAACATGCATGTTGTCGGTCCCAAAATACATGCATTTATCTATGTTTACACTGTTGTTTCGTAGGACCTTAGCAACAGTATCCAAGGGGGCGAGACTTAGTGGAACGATCCACTGCACTCAGCAACTGGGCTTAATATGAATATTCATAACTTACCCTGATGATGTCACTGCGTATACTTCTCATAGGATTACCATCGATTACCAAGGATTTGAGGTGAGGAAGGGTTCCAAGCTTAAATGGAAGACTGAAAGAAAACCATTAAGCTCTATCCTGATTATCAATCAAAAAACTGTTGCATGCCCATATATAGTCATTTTGTGCCTATATATGGTCATGATGTGATGTCATCATGACTATATTTAGACATGTCACATATTTTTGTCAAATAAAATTTGATAGTCTGGACAAGACTTTACATGTCTTGAGCAAAAACATACTGTAGTGATGTAATGATGACCCTCCCCCCCCCCACACAAGATAACACTATAATGACCTTTGATTTCCTGGGTCAACTCACCTGTCTTATCAATAACTAGCCAGCACACTGCATGGCCAACCCTAGTCACATGATAAGTACCAATTGTTGGCTATTTTAATAGTGTCTTCTGATGTCATGGTGTCATAAAATGAATTACAGTATTTGGTTTTTTTTTGTTCACAAGAAATACTATTTAACTGCCTGGATGAACCCTTAAATTCTTTAGTGCTGCTGTAAGCTAGTTTCTGAAAATTATATTTGTTATCAATCAATCAATATTATCAATTAACTAATCGTTCATGCCATGATCCTAATCATCAATTTTCAAAATTTTTTACAAAAACAAGATGCTACCACAATAAATCTAATATTAATGTTATTACTATTGATTATTATCCTTACCTGCTAATGTCATTATTACTCAAATCAAATCGATTGAGGCCCTGAAGCAGCGTTATCTCATCTGGAACCACCTTCACCTTGTTATCCCGAAGGTCAAGCACAGAGACAGAGGTCAAATGCTCTAGATGCTTTGGTGTAATCTCAGCTATTCGGTTATTTCCAACATGCAACTCCTAAGTTTATAGGGTTTAGAGAAATGGGTATAAATCCGATGACTATCACATGTCTAACCGCAATACATTGCAATTTACAATCAAAATACAGGTATCCTTTCAGTTAAAGACACCTTCAATTAAAGACCATTTTTTCTATGGTCCTAAATTAACAAATGTCTTTTATCTTCATTATTCTAATGATATTAGAGAAGCTGCTAAAATCCATGGAAAACCTGGTACCAGAATTGATCTTAAATTAGTAATTAATTTGATGTTAAACAGATTATTTTTTTCAATATAATCAACCTATAATCATTCCTGATGATGGCATAATTAATGTCGAAATATTGAATCCCGACACGATGGCGTGCATTTCGATACTTGGAGTATGTATTATACTATCTTATCTGAGATTAATCAGTGAACCTTTCGGTATTATCAACCTATATTAAGCACATTTCATTGCAGACTAGCAATTAATAAGAACCAAAATGAAATCTTGTTTGAACGTTTGCATGGCAAAGCTGCTTGTGGCAGTGGTGGCACCGGCAGGAGGTTCAGTGAGGCACTCTACCAGGGATTTTTTTATTCTGGAAACCTGACCTAGTGGGCCTCTTGGTTCAGGACCCTGGAACTCCATTGGCTTGTAGTACACCACATACTGTAGATATTTCTGAAAAGATCTGTTGCTTTTGTTGACAGAGACTTGGATGTGTCAAATGAATTGCTTCAATCGTCATCAGGAGAATTATCGCTGTGTCACTAACATGGTTGGCCCTCATGTCATAGTTTTTAATTTGTCACAGACTTGCACATGACGTACCTTAAGTGAACTGCAATCTGGTAATAACGGAAGATGTGTCAGACGGTTATGTCGTAAGTAGAGTTGCTGCAGCGATGACATACGTCCTATCTCTGATGGAATCTCTCCTAGCTGGTTATTGTTTAAATCTAAGGACACAACATCTGCAGAAAAAACAATGATAGATTTTAAGCTAAATTTTAGGACAGAAAATGATACAAGCCATGTTTTACATACAGTACCAGATTAAAAATATATGAATATGTATATACAATTAATTGAGTTTTTAATGGTTTGACAAAAAAATAAGCCACTGAGTTTGTATATATAATTCCATCATTGGATGGTAAAGCAGAAGATATTAATTTATGATGTTGACAATAGTTTCAATTGTTTATTGCAGGATTGTTAAGTCATATCCATTGTTAGTGAAGGAATATTGGAAAGTGCATATGGGTGAGGGTTTGTGAAGGAATGTAAGTGATGGACTGTTATTGCAAGACTGTTGGTGCAGGATTAATTGTGAGTGCATGTGGTGACAATCTGTGGTGAAAGAATGTTAGTGATGGATTGTCAGTGCAGGACCGTTGGTGCTGGATTATTGGCAAGTGCATGTGGTGAGTACATGTGGTGGGAATCTGTGGTGAAGGCATGTTAGTGAAGAATTGTTAGTGCAGGACTGTTGGTGCCGAATTATTGGTGAGTGCATGTGGTGAGAGTCTGTGGTGAAGGAATGTTTGTGATGGATCGTTAGTGCAGGACTGTTGGTGCCGGATTATTGGCAAGTGCATGTGGTGAGAACATGTGGTCAGAATCTATGGTGAAGGAATGTTAGTGATGGATTGTTAGGGCAGGGCAGTCTTTGTGTGGTATACTTTGTGAGTGATTGCAGTGGTGCAAGATTATTGGTGAGGAGTAAATTGGTAAAGCAGGCCTGTAGCCAGCTTCTTCCAAGTGGGGGTTTTCTGTGCTTTATGGGTCTAAATAATGCTATAAAAGCAGATATATTTGAAAAAGTCTGTGTCTGGGTGGGTGTGCAGTGCATTAGTTGGGTTGGACGACTTATTTAGGAAATTTAAAGAGGAGGTTTTGCCATAAAAGGGGGTTCTCCTGAAACATAAACCCCCCCACCCCTCTGGATATGGGCCTTCAAGGGGTAGATGGTGATAGATTACTGGTGAGGGAAATTGTTTTTTAATGACCAGCAACTTACTCTTCAGCATTCCAAAGCTGTATGGAATACTTGTTAGGCTGTTTTCTGCGAGATTAAGCACTCGTAATCGGGACAGCCCACCAATCGACGTTGAAATCACTGAAATTTTATTGTTGGAAAGGTTCTGCAATAGAATATTTATATAATGATTTGGTTACTTTTTAAGCAATGATCAATGCCTAAATATTCCTTTGAATATTTTTAGTAAATTACTACCACTAAAAAAACACTTAAGCACAAAACTATACATGTTTTTGTATACAATGGAATATACATAAAGCTTCCTTCTGAAAATTGCATGAATTGTACTCCCAAGTCTTTCAATTTTTTGTTAAAACTTCAGTAAAGTATTTTTAAAATTTTATAAAGATAAAGTTGTTAATTGCTGCATTTAAATCTTAAATTTTTGAATTGTACAAAATGTAAATTTTCCTGTATGTGATTTAAAATGTATGAAAATTGATCGCTACATCTTACATCACTCAGGTCCCCTTAAAGACGTTTTATTACGTAGAAAATCTAACTAACCAGATCCTCAAGATTACGCAGCTCCCCAATTCCGGCAGGTAGTTCTGTTAGCAAGTTATGTTGAAGATTAAGCACAGTAAGACTGGTAGCATGCCAAAGACTGTCTGGCACAGATGTCAACTTGTTGTGGCTGTACATTAATAAAAATACAAACAGTATTATTCATTTGTATATTGCATCAGGAAATTCAATCAGAATGGTGTTTTGCCCCTACCTGACATGGTATCGTACTAAATGCTCAGTACGTTTCAAAATACTTGCGAAAAAATCTCACAAGTGACTCAGCTGGGAATCGAACCCAAGACCTCCAGATAATTATCCTAGTGTCATAACCACTAGACCACAGATATTGAACCTAATGGCTAGTGTTGAATTTCATTCCCAAGTAGCAGCTGATACTGCAATGCGATTTCGATGCTGTTTGCGCCAGGAAATTTTATCGGAATGATGTTTTGTATTAGTTATCGTTCTTCATCATCATTATTGTAGGCTTACATTTGATGGTGGTGATTGGTCTGCATACTTCCAACAAATGTTGAGTTCAAACATTGGCAAATTGGTCATTATGCAAATGAGACCACATCTTTCAAAAAATATTTATTGCATAAATTTTGATGTATGTTACCTTGCATTAAACCGCTGCAATTGTTGGAGCTCTCCTAAAGCATCTGGGAGGCTTGTCAGTAAATTATCATGAACCTACAAAAAACAATAAAAAGATCAAAATTGATAAACATTATTTCATGAATATTCATCACAGATTTAAAGAAATGATAAAATTTCTTTCTTGTAGGTCACATCGGACCTAGAAGAATACGGATAAGGTCCAACTTTTGGGCTCAATTCTTTTGGATTGAGTTGGATTTGATTCGAGTTGGTTTTTTGTCTGAGTTGCTAGTTCGAGTTGGGTCGGGCCAGGTTGAATTTTCATCCAATCGGTGTTGGTCTACGTTGTCTGGTGGGCGAGTTACCAGAGATTTTGGTCGGGGTTGACTGAGTCGAGTTAGGGTTGGTTCAAGGTGACTAGTATTCATTTCTTCCACACATTCAAACAGCAAAGGGCATATGCCTGTTTAGAAAACTTGCGCAGTGGTGGATCCAGGAATTTGAAATAGAGGAAAGACAGTCCCACCATGGTCGGAGCTGAGGTAAGAAAATTTATGATTATGGCATCGGAAAAGGCACTCTCAGACTTAAATTTTCATATAGTTTCTTTTTTTCCCCATTATTTTTAATAATTTGGAAAGATTTAGGGGGCCCAGGCCAGCTTTCCTCTCCCTCCCCTTGAATCCGCCACTGTTTCATTTAACAATTTTCTTTAGTGTCTGTGTGTGAAGTTCATTATTTTCCTTAAAAGATGCATCTCCAAACTTACATCTAACACAGTTAAAGCTCCAAGTTCTCGTAGGTCATTGGATATCTCTAGCAATTTGTTAGATGCAAGAATTAACTTAGTTAGATCTGTCTGCTCCCACCAACGGTCTTCTGTGTTATCCAGTGAAACATTCCTAGCCTCTTCCGGTACGTCTTGGTTTATTCGCCATACAGAGTCTGGAACTGAGGTTAACAACGCAAAAGTAAATAAATGTCAATATGCTTTCCAAATCAGATTTTTTTATTTGAATTACTGTTATGTATTGAATATTTATTATTTTATTTATTTTTTAATACAACTAAATAAACCAATGTCATTTTATTGTATTTATACCATTTAATGACAAACTAAGTTTTGATTTGCATCATTCTTTCATGTATTTTTTGATTTGCGTCTATCTATCAATTCATAGAAGTATTCTTCCCATTACACTCATAAACATTTACTAAATTTGTATTGTATAACATTTGTCTGATTAATAATATATAGGCCTACATTAACATACTGTAATTTAAATAGAGCTATGGTTTGGTGTTGGTAGGTACTGAACCGAAAAGCTGACAATGAATGGCAGTATTGACAGATGGCCTGTAAAAACACACTTTGCTCATTATCATTCTTTCAAAGCTTTATTTCTGGATAATTAGATGCAGGTACATGGTCTTGCGACAGCAGGTACGTTCATTGACAGTACCTACTGTATAGAAAGTCTAGATTAGGGTTACGGGGTAGAGTAAGTGTAATAGTAATAGGCCTAGTAGTAGTAGCCTACTGCTAATAAAGTGTATTAGCACAGGGCTTAATAATAATATTTAAGGCATTGGTTAGGGCCTAGGGGGGGGGGCCTAGGCCTAGCCTAGTTGAGGTTAGCCTACTAGTTGAGGTTAG